GCTTGGATATGAGTTTTTGTTATCATGATTGCTGGGATGAGGATTATGGTAAGATGACAGTATCAGCTTTGATTGATGGAGCATTGCAGAACTTTTGTATGGATTTACCTTGGGATCTCATGATTGATAACTTTCCAACTGGTATGGAGTTGATGAACTATCTGTTCATACCTTGTCCTTGCCGAAAATTCAAATTGAAAAAAGGTGATTGAACTGATAAATTCAATTAGTGAATTTTTATTAATCTGTAACCTGAAGAGCAAAATTACACACAAGTTGAATTTGGTGTGTTTGAAATCCAAAATTGTAAGTATCATATCGGGATTTTTGTGCTTATTCATGTTCTTAATAGACCAATTTTCAAAAGAATATAATTTTTTAGAATCTTTAGAAGGTAATATGAAACTGCTTATAATGTTCTTGAAATCATTGGCGTATCCTTATTTTAGGAGATCGGATATGCTTTGTCAATTGGAAGATGGAAAAACTAATTCAATCAAGGCATATTATGGTGCTTTATCTGAGTAAGGGTATTTATGAGTCCAAGTTGAATTGAGTTTAGATCAAATTCATATTTGATATTAATAGTTATATATTTATTTAGGCTTGATTTAATTTTTAATTATATATTTTATTCTGATAAACTTGGACTAAGCTTGAGCTTTAATTTTTTTAATTTAAAATCCGGCTCAAAATTTAAAACGACTTAAAGGATTATGACTAATCTCATTTAACAGGTTTGAGTTTTTATCCAAGCATTTTCTTATGGGGACCTTTAAATTTGGACTATTGTCGACCCTTGAGGAGGTCTATTTTTCAGTGTATCTTCTAATACCCCTTACATCTGCTTCTGCTTGAATAAATTCCTGGCGACAAACTGGGGATCTTTGTGTGGGTGGCTCCCTCGTTTGCCAATGCTTATCCCTAGGCATGTTTAGAAAATAATTCATTCGACAAAACCAGAGCAAGTCTACTGAGTTTATTTTTTCATCCCAGATTTTTGTGCGTGAGAAAGAAGTTTTATAGGAACGAGGAAATTGGCATTGCCTCTGAATTTATAGTGGAGATCTATGGTGTAAACATCGTTTCCATTTTACACTTTACGAATTTACGTAGCAGGGATTATTATCTACAACTGCTTTAAATCTCTCCTCTACCTTGATATCTGACTTCCACAACGAACAAAAGGAAACAGGCTCCCCTTTCCACCACCATCCAACACAACTGTCTTCCTCTTGAACCCTCATCTCCAAGTTGCTATCATACTTCCTCAACAATGCTCGAGCTCCTTCTATGGCATCTTCTCCGAACACTTCTCCCACAAACCCCACACCTCGCATCCTCTCACACCATTTCTCTTTCCCTTCAATCATCTCCCCTTGGTTGGTTAATGTCTTTGCTGCCTCTCCTTCCATCACTCTTCTTTCTTCGCTCTCTCGCCCTCTGAATTCTGAGCTTGTTGAGTCCAAAAACCTCCATAGGTACTCCACTCTCCGTGAGAATCCTGTTGCAAAATCCCCACAGTTGCTGCAACTACAATCCATGTTGTTCTTGTTTAGAATCACCCCTTTTGGTTCTAAACTTCTTAGTACTTTCAACAACTCCGTTCTTTGATCAGGCCTTTTGTGATTTGGATGATGCAGTCTAAATTGCGCACAAACAATTAAGGTCTCTCCAGGTGAGTTGTCAATAATTTGTGCATTCAGGTTTTCTAATGGGTGGTTCTCGAGTCTATATATTTGTAAATTGATGTTCATAGACTTGGCAAAACCAGGAAGTCGAGAATAGATATTGTGACCTTGTGGACCAATGGAAAATGGGGTGTCTATGATTTGATTATTTTCAGCTGTGCCTGCAACAACTGTGATGCGAACCAGAGGAGGAGGCCCTCCAGAACGACGAGTCAAGGCCTTCAGAAGCGTAGGCCATCGAACACCATGAGATACCCCAATATCAAGAATATGAAGATTATGCGTCTTACCAGGCTCTTGAGCAAGAATTTGGAGTATGGAAGCGTTTGCTATGTTATTAGGTAATGCAAACCAAGGACTAACCCCATAGAATTTGAGTAAAGATTGTTGAAAGAACTTAGGCTCAATGGAAGCAAAAGTTACAGGCCCTGTGGAAGCAGAAGAGGAGGATAGGTGGTGGGTCAGGGCTCGTAGGCCATGGTCTGCAAGTCGATGGTTAGCATCTCCGGTAGGTGAGGCGAGCTCGTTGAGAACATACAATAAATGTTGCACACGCGAAAGGTTACCGGCAGTTATGGCTGTGGCACAAGGGTTTAGCAGCCGTTCTGCCCATCTTCCTTCCTTGTTATTGCCGTTATTACAATTATTTCCTGAAGACTTGTTTGAATTTTTCTTGTTTCCAGCTGACCTTTTATTTGCCACTTCTCGGGTCCTGCTTTCCCATCCTCGCTTCCATTGATCTTAGTCCTACTGTTTTGATTCCTCTTGTGTCGATGATTCTGAGATATCCTTGGAACCAGGTCATCAGAGAGTTTCCTTCTCTTGGATGAATAGGATAGCAAGGGAGGATTAGGATTGGTGGAATTAGACTGTACCAGGCCATTGATGGTAGTATTTGCAGCAGCAGCATTAGTAATCGTGGGGCGATTGATATAAGTTGCTGTAGCACCTATATTAATCAGATCTTGATCTATATCTGGATTCTGATATCACCGTTGGTAGCTATTGATGTTGCCCGTGTTGTACGGATCATCCAAGAAAGATGGAAGGAATGATACTGAACCTTCAAGCCAATCCAAGATATGATCCGGGGTTGGATTTGGTTCTGCTTCTTCAAATGTCATGATTCTTGATTGAAAACTTTAGTTTTGAAACACAAAAAAGACAAGTTTAGAAAAGGATTTTGAGATATATGTTGTTGTTATGATCATTGACCATAGAAAAGATAGGTCAGTGCTTGTAGACTTTTGTTTTCGTTGTTGAGATTGCTAAAACATAAAGTAATGTATGGGGTAGTGATGCAGCTGTGGAAACAGACGGGAAGGAGCATATTGAAACTACTGGTGCGACGTCTTTTTTTAAGCTTTTGTCTGTCGCAGGTCTCAAGTATTAACTTGTTCTCTTGGATGTCACCGTTGGTTAAGATCTGCAAGTGACCATTGGAGATAAGTTGTCTCCAAATTTAAGTATGCATTTGAATGAAATAAAAGATTTTTGAAATAAAATTATTTTAAAATGTATTAATTCAAAATATTAGCATTTGTAATTACATTGTTTATTGATAAATATTTTTTAAAATGAAATTTTGAATATAAAATCTCATGAGATAAAAAATAATGATAATAGAGATAAAAAAAAAATTATTGAAAAAATATGTAATTTGAATGTCCGTTAGATTTATCAAAAATTAATAAATATTACTAATAACGTGAAAAAACAAAAAATAAATTTTCAAATGAGCTTTTTTAGTTATAATTAAAGAAAATAATTACCTACAAAAGCATAATTAAAAATGATGTTTTGTTAAAATTTTGAAGAATTTTACAAATCTCACCTTTTGTATTAAATTTTCAAAAGAGAATTTAAATTCACAAAAACTCCTCTATCAAATTTTAAGTATTTTGTCCTCTACTTTTTTATATAGTGATTAATAAGATTTTATGAGGATATAAAGATTTTGGTTTCAAGTCAAGATCTTCTTGCTCTTTCTTCTTTGTAAAATTTATACTCTCCTTGAATCAAAAAAATTTATATTCTCTCATTGAAATCCTTTATCCAAATTCATATTTTAAGATGAGTTGAATTTGGGCTTTGAAGAGACGGTAAACTCTGGGTTGGCAATTAAAAAACGTGGGTTTATTTTTTTCTTTGGGTTTGGCTTGGCAATTCCACGTACGGTTGAAAGCTTTTCTTGTTTTTTTAGTCCCTAGATTTATTCGACCTCACTCACTTTTTTTTTTTTTTTCTTTCCATTCATTTGCTATAAAATTGAATTCTATGGTCAGATGTGCAGTTTCAAACCTCTTATGAGTGAATCTTATGTTTAAGAATTATGTCATTACCCTGACTATCCCTACAACAATTTTATTTTACTCGATCAAAATCTAAAAAAACAAATTTAAATAATTCATTATTTTTTGATGATCGATATATAAATTCAATATGAATTTTTTTCATAAAATTTGCGATCTATTTTGATTTTAAAATAAAATAAATCTCACTCTAAATTTTGATGTATAAACAAACAAAAAAAAATTATTTTAATTTATTCAGAATCAGACTTGATGCTTTGTAATAATGGTACAGTGATTCCAATTGCAATAATGCTAGGTGGAAAAAATACTGAGATAATTAATTTGATCATACTTTAGTTTCATATGATATTTACTACCTTCAATCTTTTTTTTTTTTTTTTACTGGCAAATATTTAAACAAGTTTACGGTGATCTAAATTTTGTTCATATAAATTCTAATCTTTTGTATTTAGCATCAATGGCGAGATGTCATCTTAATTGCAATAACGTGTTCCCTTAGCTCTACACATTATAAGTCCCTTCATCTCCCCTTTTTTTTTTTTTTAATTTTTCATTTGCAATTGTGAATTTTTTATTTTTTATTTTTTTGGCAAAACTTATATTTCCCCTCTTAAATTATTTTATATTGATCAAATTTCTATAATTTGTCCATAAAAAATAGTTGTAACTTTTTTTAATTGAAAATAATGTAGTTTTTTTCCATATAAAAAGTTAAAATAAGTAAACAAAACTATAAATACATCAATTATTAAAAAAAAAAAAACAAAGAATGCTTTTTTATTTTGTATACATCTATATGTTTATTTGAAATAAAAAAGGACAAACAAACGAAGACAAATTAAAATGCTTTTGTTTATTATTATTATTATTTTTTTGGTATGCATCCATATGTTTATTTGAAATTAAAAAGGATAAACAAAGAAAGCCAAATTAAAATCTTGTAAAAATAAGAAGAATACCCAAAGCAAGTCGGGCTTGAGGATGATGGATGAATCTAAGCCAAGTAATAAGCCAACCTGTCAAGTCTATTCCAATCCCAGCTAGGCTTAAATTCAACATCCTTAAGCCTTGGGGGTAATTGCACCAGATTGATTTTCTTACTCAAACCAAGGTGTGCCATGAGAAGGGCGACGTGGGTTAGCAACTCCTCGCCGTGCTGAAGTTGTCTCGCATGCTCCTTCCACGAACATTGACTCGCGGCATAAGTCAGCATCTCCAGCCACACTTGAGCTATCAAATCCCATTTTTCTTGGTGATCCCATTGAAAGTTTGATACTAAAGATTGCAATTGGTAGGCAATCTGACATCCTTCAAAGAATGCCGACTTCCTCCGACTTCCCATCTGGACAAAGAATGATCGAGATTCGATGTCAATTCCAAACAACCCCCTTATAGCTTCCCTGAATCTTAACTTTTCAAGGAAAAATTTCTTTGCTTCAATGCAGGTATCATAGTGCCTTATGTTACCAATACCTTCAGGAAGCATTTCTGGACAGAGAAAGAGGAGATACATCATGTAACCGGATAAGAGCTTACTGATTTGGCACTGTGGACCAAGGCTACCTGCTCGAAAACTATGATGATCATCATGGTAAACAAGATCTGTAGCAATATGCCACAAGAGGACACCGTGGGTAAATTCTGCATCAGATACACTCCAAATAATGTCATCTGTTTTTCCTTTAAGCGCACTGTAGCCTCTCTCATCCAATAACTTTGTGAGAACTTCGAAGTCAAAATTTTCTTCTTTATATTTCCTTTGTTTTTCTATGAGATGAGAGTAGATGATTTCTTGCAAATCAGGATTCACATCCATCCAACTGGTACGGAAATACTTCTCCAAATTGTCCTCAGTGTCAAATATGTTTAACGCTGCAGCCAGCTTCAGTTTCCTAGGCTTGAGACAATAATCTAGTAGGCTGTGTTGTGCCATGGATCGAATTCCCTTGTTGGATTTAGTCAAAAGAACCAACTTAGAACCAATAGCCTTAAGATATCTGTTATTTTGACTAGTCAACCAGAGAATTCCGCGGTCAGAGCTAAGATGTAGAATGGCTGAATAAATTTCAAGAAAGATAGCTCCAACCATTAACAAGTAGGATATGCCAATGTCAACTTTCGAGTAGCCATGCTTACCAACGACGATCAAGAAGGCAATCAGTGTGGAAACGGTGAATGACAAGCAAATGCAGCGGAGAATTACACCCTGTCGAGTTATAACTATAGGAATCTTTGTATAGAGCATATCATACAGGAAACCAAGTTCAATCTCTACAATTTTGAAGGCCTCTTCTGCTGTCACTTTGGGCATTTCAAATATGTAACTTAAATCGCTGTAAATTCTGAGCTTGAGGTCCGAAAATAGGGGCCTGAACACCTGAAATAAATGAAAAGCTCGATGAAGATACCTGTATTCGTCCTTAATTTGTCTGTGCTGTAAATATTCCTCCAGCGTCATTTTCCCATTTGAAGGCCCCTGTTGAAGGTCAACTTCAAGCTGGAAACTTCTGGTATCCGAGAACACAGACTTCCTAAACCGCATGCTACTAGCTTTGAACAGAGCCCAAACCCTCTCGCCATACTTGATAATTCCAACAATGAATATTGGAATGGCCAAAAAGGTGAGCTCGGTGACTGTTAGTGTCCAAAACTTAACATAGACATAGAGAGCCACTCCAATCTGGAAGCACAGCCCGAAGAAATGTCTAGGCCACAGCTCATTGTCCGACAAGGAGTAAGCAGTGATTGTATCTGGGCCACCAAGATGTAAGAGTAGGAATGGGGTCCAAAATATAACTAGTGGACTGGTTATTTGCTCCCTTCTGCTTCTGAGGAGAGTGCTGAGGGCAACTGTTGCCAACCAGTCTGCAAACAAGTACATCGTCCAAACAAGGAATGAGAAAAACTTTAAATCTTTCCCGCTGAATTTCCGTCGATTCCCATATCTTATCAATATAAGCTGAACGGTTAGGCTGAGCACAACCATTGCACGGAGTTCCCATTTGAGCCAAAGGGATAGCATAACCTCTGACAAGGTTTTCAGAAATGCAGCATCCTTGATCTCTATGAAGAGCAGAGCAGTTGCAACTGGAAATTCAAACATATTGAAAATAAATGATTTTAGAAATAACATGCAACAGAAATTAAATAAATGTTAGAGTTAAAAAGATTTTTGAAATAATGACCTAAATGAAACATCAATTAATTCTAGTAATTAAGAAAAGAATTAGGAAAAAAACATTGATTTGGAGTTACGCGGGCTCTGCAGAGTTCTTGTTTAATATTGATAGAAGCAGCTGATTTGCAACTTGGAATAACTGAATTTGCTCAGATATATGCAATTGCAGTTCTACTTACTTGTAACTATCATAGTGGCGGTGCTTGTTATGCAACCAACAAACACCAAAAGATGTGGAGGATGTCTTTGATGCTCAACACAAAAGCAGCTTGACCCGTCCTTTGAGACCTTGCCTGAAACTGCTTGCAATGTGATCAAATACTAATTCTACATAAATGCAACTTATAACCAATTAATTAAGCAAAAGATAGAGGAAGCAACCTGATCATTCTCTAGGTGATTGCTGGTGGAGATTTGGGTGGAAATGCAATGTTTGAGCTGTTGTTGCTGGAATTTGTACCTTAATTAAAAAAATAAAAACAAGAAGGCAATAGGGGAAAGGGGCTGATAGCAACTACCAAAGATGAATATATGAAAAAAACAATTATTGGGGGGGGGGGGTCCAGGGAGATGGATTCATAAGAGGGAATACAAACCTTACTTATTTGGTTTAAACTTTGGGGCAAGATATGTGATAACCCAGAATAGCTATATGCTATATTTTTCTGAAACATTAATGTAAATGGAACCAAAATTATAACAACAGTCTGGTAATAGAAATGCAGTTGAGGTCTCATAACTGTACTTATAGCTGCAAAGAGAAGGGATCTGACAATCAATGTTCATCATACATGTGGTGCAAGATTTCTCCATGTAATGAAGTAAAGAATCTCCAACGGCTCACAATCTATTAACTTCTCTGTGACAAATTATAAAAACAATCTTCTGTCAGAAGGTTCTGCATTTCTTATACGGGATTTTACTTGCACATTTGACAAATGCAAATTAAGTAGTAGTAGCAACTTTCTTTTCAAATGTTTATCAGGAGATAAAAGAATAGTAATTTCCCAATTGGACAGATTCACTCAGCAAAAGGACTAGAAAAAATATAAATATAAAAAAATTTATATTTGATGTATTGTCAGTATATAAATTTTATACATTATCAATGAATAGGATGATATCATCTTATTAATAAAATAAATCAGATGATACTACCTCATTAATGAATAAAATTTTTAAAAATATTAATTTTTATATATTTATTTTAAAGATTGATATTTGTTCATTAATGAGATAATATTATTTGATTTAGTGACAATATATAAAATTTATACACTGATAATTTATCAAATACAAACTCATAAAAAATGGTAAAAGTGATCAATTAGCAAAGCAATAGGAGAGGGAATTGGGAAAGTTCCAAAGAAAAGAAAGGAAGAACTTTTACTTTAGTGCACATTACACTAGAATGTTGCATACGCTTGGTCTCGCCACCATGGGTATGTCCGCATTGGAGTTTCAGCAGGGATGATAGAAAGATTGAGTGGTCAAGATCATTGGACCCGGGAATAACTTAATTAACTTTAAAAGTTAATGTACTCAGGACAGCGAGAGAATAATAGCATAACTTGGATTGGCCGATAAGTAATGAATTGATGCAAAGAGTTTTATATATATGCTAAGTTGCTAACGTAAAGGGAATTAAGACTTGTAAATTATAAGCAGAACCATTTGAAATTTCCCCTTTTTTCAGATTAGTAGAGTTTGGAACTTATTTTCCATTTTCTACGCCACAAATGGGTTTACACAGCATGCATGAGGGGCCGTTAAAACTACAAAATTGTATGGTAAAGGCAGACTTTTCCATGTGTTTTATATCTGACCACAGCCTTTTCTCTTTAACAGCATTTTTAGACACATAATTTATAAAGTTTTCCCCCCCCTTAAAACTAACTCCCAAAAACAAAAAACAGAACTTTCGTTTAATATTTTACAATTTTAACATGAGTGTCATCTCTAGCTTGGTGAAAGCTAGCTGCAGATGAATTTATAAGAATAGTGTCTCTATATGTCATGGGGTACAACAGCGTCCAGGACACCAGGTTGACCAGGAGACTCGGTTATGACTTTGGCAGTGTCTTCTTGGGTAACTCTCAGTTTGATCATTGTGCCGATTTTAGCAGCAGCTAACATTGAAATCACGATGACTGGTAAAGCGTCTGAACGACTCAAAGGATTGGCCATGTTGATCAGTATAACAATAATGCAAACCAAGGACTTAAAGATCGTTGAAAGAACTTAGGCTCAATGGAAGCAAAAGTAACAGATCCTGTGGAAGCAGAAGACAGAAGAGGAGGATAGGTTGTCAAGGCTCGCGGCCTCGTAGGCCATGGTCTGCAAGTCGATTGTTGGCATTGTTGGAGATAAAACCCCACTTAGAGCCTATGGAAGTACGTCAGAAAGTTTATATATACATATTAGATACTACTTGAACCCAAAAGTTTAAATTATTAGGTTTTTCGGATTCTTCATATATATATAAAATATTTCATTCAGATTTACTAATGATATGAGATTCTTTACTTACATGTGAACCATATTCTAACAATTTCTCCCATTCATTTGTGAGTTCTAATTAAGTCTCACCTCGACTTTCTTGTGCGATTAAGTTCTATCAACAATTCTTTTAGATCAGACAACCTCATATCTCTAGTGCACTTTTGGACCAAAGCACAGTATTCAACTTGGGTGACTAGGTTATTTCAATGCTCCGTCAAACTTATATTTTAGGTTAACTCAACTAATAGTCCACTTAAGTGTTTTGTTTTTGCATATTATTATATATTTGCTGCATTTAAGTCGAACTTTTAATACCGGTGTTCGAATATATGAGGTTGATGAACGCGGTCAATCTTCGATCTACCAACAATCTCTTTTAATATCGTTATTCGAATACATGGAGTTGATACACGTTGCCAACCTTCGATCTGCCAATAATCTTTCCCAACAATACTACTGAGACTCAAACCTGTGACTTTTGATCTTGATACCACTTATTGAGAGATAAATCACATTTGGAAGTCATGAGAGCATACAGAGAGCCCATATATATATGTTACACATCACTTGAGCTCAAAAGTTTAAGATATTAGGTTCTTGAATCTTTCATGAGTATATAAGACATCTTATTTAAATTTTTTAATGATGTGAGATTTTTTACTAATATGTGAATCATATCTCAACCGACATCCAATAGGTGAGTCAAGCTCGTTGAGAACATACAATAGGTGTTGCACATGAGTCAAGTTACCGGCGGTTATGGCTGTGGCAGAAGGGTTTAGCAACTGTTCTGCCCATCTTCCTTGTTATTGCCGTTGTGACAATTATTTCCTGAAGATTTGTTTGAATTTCTTGTTTCCAGCTGACCTTTTATTTGCCACTTCTTCGGGTCCTGCTTTTCCATCCTCGTTTCCGTTGATCTTACTGCTCTGATTCCTCTTGTGTTGATGATTCTGAGATATCCTTGGAACCAGGTCATCAGAGGGTTTCCTTCTCTTGGATGAATTGGATGGCAAGGGATTATTAGGAATGGTGGAATTAGACTGTATCAGGCTATTGTTGGTAGTATTTGCAGCAGCAGCAAAAGCAATTGTGGGGCTATTGATAGAAGTTGCAGTCGCCTATGTTAATCAGACCTTGACCTATATCTTGATTCTGATCCCACCATTGGTAGCTATTGATGTCGCCCTTGTTGTACGGATCATTCAAGAAAGATGGAAGCAATGATACTGAATCTTCAAGCCAATCCAAGATATGATCTGGGGTTCGATTTGGTTCTGCTTCTTCAAATGTCATGATTATTGATTGAAAACTTTGAGTTTTGAAACAGAGAAGAAAAAACAAGTTTAGAAAAGGATTTCGAGATTCATGTTGCTGTTGTGATCATTGACCAAAGAAAAGATAGGAAAGGACAGTGCTTGTAGACTTTTGTTTTTGATTTTGAGATTGCTAAAACATAAAATAACGGATGAGGTAGTGATGCAGCTGTGGAAGCAGACGGTAAAGGACATATTGAAACTATTGGTGTGCTGTTTATCTGGAAGACGTGTTGTTTTTATTAAGGTTGTTGTTGTTGTTGTATATATATATTTTTTTTAATTTCTTTAAGCCTGTAACTTCTTTAAGCTTTTGTCTGTCGCAGGTCTTAGGCATTAACTTATTCTCTTAGATGTCTCGTTGGTTGAGACATGCAAATGACTATAGAGAGAAGTTGTTTCGAAATTTAAAGATGCATTTGAATGGAATAAAGGAATTTTTAAATAAAATTATTTTAAAATGCATTAGTTGAAAATATTAGCTTTATAATTGCATTGTTTTTAGATAAATATTTTTTAAAAAGAAAATTTGAATATTAAATTTGATGAAATAAAAAATAATGATAATAGAGATAGAATAAGAAAATTATTGAAAAATATGCAATTTGAATGTCATTAGATTTGTAAAAAAAATGTATAAATATTACTAATAACATGAAAAACAAAAAAAAAAAATTTGAAATGAGTTTTTTTAGTTATAATTGAAAAAAATAAAAATTATGTAAAAAAGCATAATAAATATTGATATTTTATTAAAATTTTCAAAAATTTTACAAATTTCACCTCTTGAATTGAAATTTCAAAAGAAAATTTGAATCCACTAAAACCCCTCTTCCAAATTACAAGTATTTTAATAATTTTAAAATTTATTTTATCAAACAAAATAATTTTATTGTAAAAATCATTTAAAAATGAATTCTCTCTTTAAAATTCTTTATCGAAATTCATCTTTTAAGGTAAGTTGAATTTGGGCTCTGAAGTTTGAAGAGACAGCAAATTAACTCTGGTTTGGTAATTAAAAAACGTGGGTGTTTTTTTTTTTTTTTGGGGGGGGGGGGGGGGGGGCGGTGGTGGTGGTGGCGGGGAAGTGGTTTGCCTTGGCAATGCCATGGTTGGAAGCTTTTCTTGTTTTAGTCACTAGATTTATTCGACTTCACTCACTTTTTTTTTTTATTCATTTGCTATAAAATTGAATTCTATGATCATATGTGCAATTTCAAACCTCTTATGAGTAAATCTTATGTTTAAGAATTATGTCATTACCCACCCCAATTCTCAAATAATAGGCTATCCCCCTATCCTGTTTACACAATAAATTTATTTTATACTTCTTCAAAATCTTTAAAAAAATTTTTTTAAATAATTGATTATCTTTTAATGGTCAATAAATGTAATATAAGTTTTTTATGAAACCTATGATCTACTTTGATATTAAAAGATAAAAAGATGGTTCATTCTAGATTTTGTTTTATAAAAAAACTATTTTATACTTATTCAAAATTTAAAGGAGCATACTTAAAATAAAAAATGATTTTTTGCAATAATGGTATAGTGGTTCGAATTAGACTTGGTAATTCATATTTTTGTATTATATTTGATATGTGTAATGACATGAATTATTAAAATATGAACACGATACGAATTATAAAATATGTTTAAATCATAAACATAAATATAACATATTTAATATATGGGTTATATGCAACATGATATGATTAATACGTGTATAATTAATTCGTTTAAATATGATACGAATAAATATAAATAATAAAGATATACATGAATAAACATAACTAATATGGATATACATGAATAGATATGATTAACATAAATATATACAAGAACATGATTAAAATAATAAATAATTATAAACTATCAGTCATTTATAACTTATTAAATTTGACATATTAATAATATAAAAAATACTTAAATATAAAAAAAAGTCAGTAGTCATTTAATATGTATTTAATATATATTACATAATTATATTAAATTTTAGTATCAAATTTAAAATGATAAACTATTAAAGATTAAAGAATAAAATAATAATGTATAGTACTAATATTAATATTAATATTGTATTTATATTATTAATATAAAAATAATTTTATAATAATTATTAAATGAATATCATAATTAAATATTTAAAATAATTTTTATATGATATTAAATAGCTAATTAAATATCATAATTAAAAAATTAAAAATTAAAATTAAAATAATCTTTATATGTTTATATTAAATTCAAATAAATATAAAAACTATATTAAACATGTTAAATATATTAAATGTATACTTGTATAACAAAATTAAATTAAAAGTGTTATTTTTATCATGTCACATATTTAGACGAATCAACACATATGCGACATAAATTATATCATGTCAAAATTTTTGTTAATACGAATAAACATAAAACATGTTTATTTAAAATATATATACAAATTTTTTCATATTATTTTTATATAATATTACTATATCATGTCTGAAATTATTAAATTTAATTCGAATTGTAAGGTTTAATTCGAATTGTAGTAATGCTAGATGGAAAAAATATGAAGATAATTTATTTTATGATACTTTATTTTTGTATTATATTTACTAGCTTTAATCATTTTTTTTTTTGTAAATATTTAAACAAATGAACGATGAGTTTTCTTTTATTATTTCAGGTAAGATTTATTACGAAGTCTTAATAAAATTTTTATTTATATTTAATATTGTTTAAAGTCATTTGCATTTAAATTTGAATTTATGATTTATTCAATTTAATTGAAGAATTTGGGATCTACTTAGGTTGACATGCTTAAATTCTTTTGTTACAACTTTTTCTTATTTCAGTTTCTCAAGTTGTGGTTGCATTTACACCCTATAACTATGTAGCCGAAATTGATTTTGACTCAGATGAAAAAATGAGATGATGGAAAAAAAAAAAAAAACTACAATTATCTGAATCGTATTCGTATAAATTCCAAGTCTTCTGTACTTTGCTTCATTGAAGAGACGTCGTCGTCTTAATTGCAATTGGCTTCACACGTTGCAAGTCCCTTTATCTCTTTTTTTTAAACCTTTTATTTGCAATCGTGAATTTTCAATTTTGTTTCGTTTTTTATTATATGATTTTTTTGGCAAAATTTTCAATTCAGTCTTATTTCCCCTCTTAAACTATTTCATATTGATTAAATTTCTATAATTTTGTCTGTATAAAACAGTTTTAAGTTTTTTTGAATTGAAAATAATATAGTTTTTTCTATATAAAAAGTTAACCAAGTAAAATAAAACTATAAATACATCAATTATTAAAAAAAAAAAGAATCCTTTGGTTTTTTTTTTTTTGGTATACATCTATATATTTATTTGAAATTAAAAAGGACAAACAAAAAAAGCCAAAATAAAATCTTGTAAAAATAAGAAGAATACCCAAAACAAGTCGGGTTTGAGGATGATGGATGAATCTAAGCCAAGTAATAAGCCAATCGGTCAAGCCTATCCCAATCCCAGCTGGGCTTGAAGGAGACATCCGTAAGTCTTTGGGGCACTGGCACCAGATTGATTTTCTTGCTCAAACCAAGGTGTGCCATGAGAAGGGCGACGTGGGTTAGCAACTCCTCGCCTTGCTGAAGTTGTCTCGCATGCTCCTTCCACGAACATTGACTCGCGGCATAAGTCAGCATCTCCAGCCACACTTCAGCAATCAGTTTCCATTTTTCTTGGTGATCCCAGTGATAGTTTGATATCAAATCTTTCAATTGGTAGGCAATACGACATCCTTCAAAGAATGCTGACTTCCTCCGACTTCCCATCTCGACAAAGAATGATCGAGATTCGATGTCAATTCCAAACAAACCCTCTATAGCTTCCTTGAATCTTAACTTTCTATGGAAAAAATTCTTTGCTTCAATGCAGGTATCCTGGTGCCTTATGTTACCAATACCTTCAGGAAGCATTGCTGGACAGAGAAAGAGAAGATACATCATGTAATCAGACAATCGCTTACTGATATCGCAATGTGGACCAAGGTTACCTGCTCGAAAACTATGATGATCATCACTGTAAACAATATCTGTAGCAATATGCCATAAGAGGACACTGTGGGTAAATTCTGCCTCAGAAACACTCCAATAAGTGTCAGGTAATTTATTGTGTTCCGCAAGCACATTGTATCCTCTCTCATCCAATAACTCTGAGAGATATTTGAAATCAAAACCATTTTCTCGATATTTCTGTCGTTTTTGTAGGAGACGAGAGTAGATGAAATTTTGCAAATCAGGATTCACATCCTCCCAACTGGTACGGAAATACTTCTCCAAATTGTCCTCAGTGTCAAATATGTTTAACACCGCAGCCAGCTTCAGTTTCCTAGGCTGGAGGCAATAATCTAGTAGGCTGTGCTGTGCCATGGATCGAATTCCCTTGTTGGGTTTAGTCAAAAGAACTAACTTGGAACCAATAGCCTTAAGATATCTGTTATTTCGACTAGTCAACCAGAGAATTCCGCGGTCAGAGCAAAGATGTAGAATGGCTGAATAAATTTCAAGAAAGATAGCTCCAACCATTAACAAGTAGGATATGCCAATGTCAACTTTCGAGTAGCCATGCTTACCAATGACGGTCAAGAAGGCAATCAGTGTGGAAACGGTGAATGACAAGCAAATGCAGCGGAGAATTACACCCTGTCGAGTTAAAACTATAGGAATCTTTGTATAGAGCTTATCATACAGGAAACTAAGTTCAATCTCCACAATTTGGAAGGCCTCTTCTGCAGTCACTTCGGGCATTTCAAATATGTAACATAAATCTTTGTAAATTCTGAGCTTGAGGTCCGAAAATAGGGGCCTGAACACCTGAAATAAATGAAAAGCTCGCTGAAGGTACCTGTATTCTTTCTTAATTTGTCTGTGATCTAAATATTCCTCCAGCTTCATCTTCCCATTTGAAAGCCCCTGTTGCAGGTCAACTTCAAGCTGGAAACTTTGGGTATCCGAGAACACAGACTTCCTAAACCGCGTGCTGCAAGCTTTGAAGAGGGCCCAAACCCTCTCTTTCATGTTCCCTTTTGAAGGCCTCTGTTGAAGGTCAAAACTTTGAGTATCCGAGAACACAGACTTCCTAAACCGCTTGCTACTAGCTTTGTAGAGAGCCCAAACCCTCTCCCCGTACTTGATAATTCCAACGATGAATATTGGAATGGCCAAAAAGGTGAGCTTAGTAACTGTTAGCGTCCAAAACTTGACGTAGACATAGATAGCCACTCCAATCTGGAAGCACAGCCCGAAGAAATGTCTAGGCCACAGCTCATTGTCCGATAAGGAGTAAGCAGTGATTGTATCTGGGCCACCAAGATGCAAGAGTAAGAATGGGGTCCAAAATATAACTAGTGGACTGGTTATTTGCTCCCTTCTGCTTCTGAGGAGAGTGCTGAGGGCAACTGTTGCCAACCAGGTTGCAAACAGGTACATCGTCCAAACAAGGAATGACAAAAGCTTTATATCTTTCCCGCTGAATTTCCGTCGATTCCCATATCTTATCAGTATAAGCTGAACGGTTAGGCTGAGTACAACCATTGCACGGAGTTCCCATTTGACAAAAAGGGATAGCATAGCCTCTGACAAGGTTTTCAGAAATGCAGCATCCTTGATCTCTACGAAGAGCAGAGCAGTTGCTACTGGAAAGTCAAACATGTTCTAATTAAATGATTTTAGAAAAAACATGCAACAGAATTTAAATAAATGTTAAAGTTAAAAGGATTTTTGAAATAAGAACCTAAATAAAACAGCAATTAATTCTAGTAATTGACAAAAGAATTGGCTAAAAAGCATTGATTTGGAATTAAGCGGGTTCTGCAGAGTTCTTGTCTAATAGTGCTAGAAGCAGCTGATTTGTAACTTGGAATAACTGAATTTGCTTAGATAGATGCAATTGCAGTTCTACTTACTTGTAACTATCATAGCGGCGGGGCTTGTTATGCGACCAACAAACACCAAAAGATGTGGAAGATGTCTCTGATTCTCAACACAAAGGCAGCTTGACCCGCCCTTTGAGACCTTGCCAGAAACTGCTTGCAATGTGACCAATTACTAATTCTGCATAAATGCAACTTATAACTAATTAATTAAGCAAAAAATAGAGAAAGCAACCTGATCTTACTCTAGGTGATTGCTGGTGGCAATTTGGGTGGAAATGCAATGCTTTCGTTGTTGTTGCAGGAATTTGTACCTTATTTAAAAAATAAAAAATAAAAAAGGCAATAGGGGATAAGGGATGATAGCAACTGCCAAAGATGAATATATGAAAATGCTATAAACAGTTATAGCTATATACCATAAGAGGGATGGATCCATAAGAGGGAATGCAAAGCTTACTTGGTCATAAACTTTGGGGCAAGATATGTGATAACCAAGAATAGCTATATACTATATTTTTCTGAAACATTAATGTAAATGGGACCAAAATTATAACAACTGTTCTAGTAATAGAAATGCAGTTGAGGTCTCATAACTGTATTTATAGCTGCAAAGAGAAGGGAGCGGACAATCAATGTTCATGATACATGTGGTGCAAGATTTCTCCATGCAATGAAGTAAAGAATCTCCGACAGCTTACAATCTGTTAACTTTTCTGTGACAGATTACAAAAACAATCTTCTGTCAGAAAGTTCTGAATTTTTTATACGGGATTTTACTTGAACATTTGACAAATGCAAATTAAGTAGTGGTAGCAACTTTCTTTTCAAGTGTTTTCCAGGAGATAAAGAATAGCAATTTCCCAATGGGCAAGTTCACTCAGCAAAAGAACCCGAATATATATATATATATATATATATAAAACCAATTAGCAAAGCAATAGGAGAGGGAATTGGGAAAATACCAAAGAGAAGAAATGTGATTCTTCTGCATTAGTGCACATTACACTAGAATGTTGTATAGAAAACCATACTAGTCCAAAAATATCGTATATGTGGGGTATCGCCACCATGGGTGTGCATGCGTTGGAGTTTTTCAGCAGGGATAATACAAAGATTGAGTAGTCAAGGATCATTAGACCGGGGAATAACTGATTAACTTTAAAAGTTAATGTACTGAGGACAGCAAGAGAACAATAACATAACTTGGATTGGCCGATAAGCAATGAATTGATGCAAAGAGTTTTACACATATGCTAACATAAAGGGAATGAAGACTTGCAAATTATAAGCAGAACCCCTTTGAAGGTTCCCCTTTTTTCAGATTAGTAGCGTTTCATGCTTATTTTCCATGTTCGACGCCACAAATGGGTTTACACGGCATGCATGAAGTGCTGTTAAAACTTCAAAAAATATTGTTGTATGGTATAAGCAGCACTTTTCAATGTGTTATCTATTTGACCATAGCCTTTTCTCTTTAACAGCATTTTTAGACACACAACAGTAGGCAAATATGCTTTTATTTACAAAGTTCTTTTTTCCCTTATAACTAACTCCCAAGAACAAAAAAGAGAACTTTCATGTAATATTTTACAAAGTTAACATGAATGTCTTATCTAGTTTGGTGAAAGCTGCAGATGAATTTATAATAATAGTGTTTATATATGCTAATCAACAACTAACCAAGTAGAGAACTTTCTTTCCTTTTCTATTCTATGCCTCGGTTGACATCCCCTTGCTAATGCGAGAACCACGTTTAGAAAACAAACAAGTCATTTGCTAAATTCTTTATTCAGAAATTTAACGCCAAAATTAAGTCAGAGGAAGGTAATATTGATATAAATATCTGTGCATATGTATGTATTAGTGATAAGTTCAGAATTTTTTTTTATAATATATATATAAAACACCATTGTTGATGGATTTGCTAATTTTATCAATAGAAAGAAAATTTAAAAAAAAATAGAGGTATCCAACCAAAAATTTTTTTAAAATTTTTTATTTTCCAATTTTTAGGGATTTTTAGAAAAAATTTTGAGAGTGTCAAGTAAAAAGTTCTCTTTAAGTTTTTTTTTAAATCAAAGCATTTGATTTAATAACTTTTTTTTTTCAAGGAGTTGAAGAAATACGAATTTTAAAACAAAACGTAATTTTTATTAAAAAGATGAAAAAATATTTTTCAAAATTCAACGGAAACAATATTCTTAAAATAGAAAATACAATCTTTATTTTAAAAGATTATATTTTAATACTATAAATGTCATTTATTATTCATGTATTATCAAACACAATATAATAAAAAATTTATCAAGTAATCTTATATTTTGTAAACTAAACACAAAAATTTTACCTTTCCTAAATCAATAAAAACTTTGAAATCACAAATTCTCTTTTAATATCGCTTTTACCTAATTTATTTTTTCTCTCAAAATTTAAAAATTTATGAACCAAAACCCATGACAAGTATTAACGTTTTTTCTTTTTTTGATAAGTGTTGTTTTCATTTATCTAAAAAAACAGTAAATACTGTTACCTTATGTAAGGAAAATAGGGTCCAGCCCCATGTAAGTGGTTTTAGATCAAGTAAAGGCCATGGGCCTTGATCTTTCATTTTACACAGAGTCCTAACTACTTAATAAAAAAAAGATGGGGTTGTTTTAAGAGAGTGTCGAAAACCAAGTAGAGAAAGAAGAAAAGCCAGAAAAAGCAGAGAGAAAAAAGAGAAGGGAGAGTTAGTTGAACGGAAGTCGATCCATAGTTTGATTAAGTTGAAACCTTGTCAAGAGGTTTATGATTCAGAGTTCTACATTTTGAATGGTGAAGATCGGGTTTGAAGCTCTCTAGGAACAAATCTATGGTATATTTGTTGAGTCACTTATTTGGTGAGATTTTTTTAATTGTTTCTCTAGTTGTTGATTAGCTCTAGTTTTAGTTAGAGAAAAACTTTGTATACCTATTATTTGATAGTGAAAATTTTTCTGATGGTCCATGATTTTTTCTCTATACACTGGAGGATTTTTCACGTAAATCTTGGTGTGCTTTATTTTTCTTACGTTTTTTATTATTGATTGTTGTCTATTACTTCTGTATTGTTGTGATTATTACTTCAGGTGCAACAAGTGGTATCAGAGCGAGGGTTATTTTGAGATATCGATATAGAAGCAACCCAAAATAAAAGTAAATTATGTTTGAGATCATTGAGGGTGATACAGGTTCCATGATAAAATTGATAGCATCGAATTATTCAATTTGAAAACCTATGATGGAGGATCATTTATACTGTAAAGATTTGTATGAGTTAATATTGGGTGATTCAACTAAACCAGCAGATATAAAAGATGAAAGTTGAAAAAAGCTAGGTAAAAAGATGCTGACTACAATAAAAAAATGGGTTGATATCAACGTGTGTAGACACCCTATTTAGTTTGGACCCAAACCCATTGGGCCTAGTCCAATAGGATTTGGGTCTAAGCCTATTGGACCCAATTTAAGATCTAATTAGCTGGCCCCAATTGGCTTTTATTTTTATTTTTATTATTTAATATATATTTTTTATTTTTATTTTTTTATATCTATTAATATTTTTTTAATTTCTATCTTATGGTCTACTTATTGTTTATTTTCTTTTTCTATTTTCATTATCTGATTATTTAAAAAAAAAAGATTAAGATCAGGCTTGATGATGATCAGAAAGCATAATTAAATGCTAATCTTTAGCATTGGATGACTAATTGGAATTGAACTGAAACTCTATCAGTATGATTTTATAAATAATTATAATTCACAGTTTGAAAAAGAAGAGGGGAGGAAAGATAGAAGAAAAATCCGAATAAGAGAGGAAAAAGGCAAAGTCAAAAAATGTTCAGTCTTCTGTTAGCAACTTTACCGCCTAGAGTAGTATTGAGAAGGCGTGGGCTGCTTTATGAAAGCCAGTAACCTGCTCGCTAGGATGCTGCTTGAAGCGGTACAATCTGGGTGATTGCTATCTTTTTTCATTCGATCATCCAACTTTCAAGGGTCAAATGAAGAGGCTGATTATCTAGTCTGGATGGACCCTGGTTCTATTTGAATCTAGCAATTGGTTGATCTCAGTCAAAGACTCGATTGTATTGAGGATCTTTAACCAAGAAAAAGGTTCAGCCTTTCCCTTCATGCACCAGAAAGAAAAGAATAAAAATGAGGCACTTTCTTTCGTCAAGCAATACAGACCAACCAACACAACACAACAATCACAGCCTGTATTTAGTAGTGGCATATTTGGTTCTTCTACACCTTTTGGTTCAAGTCGATCTGCATTTGGTTCCAGTACTCCTGCTTTTGGTGCCACGAGCACCCTTGCCTTTAGTTTCACAAGCATCCCTACCTTTGGTACCCTTGCCTTTAATTCATCTGGAAGTCCAACATTTGGGAGTACTGAAATTGCATTCAGTGTGTCTAATGCCCAGGTATTTGGAACAGGGGGCACATTTGGAGCATCAAGCGCACCTACTTTTGGCACTTCTAGCACTCTTGTTTTTGGTTCTTTTTAGTTCTATATTTGAGGGTTCCATCCCTCCTGCTTTTGAAGCTTTAAACATTCTTCCTTTTAGAGCATCTTCTACTCTTTCATTCAGCTTTGGGTCTAGCCTAGCTTTTGGCCAATCAACGCCAACATTCAGTAGTTCTCCTTTTGGAACCACCACATTTGGAGCCCTGAGTTCTCCTTTTGAAACCCAATCTTCTGTACCAGCATCTGAAAACACTAGCTTTGACCAATCACCATTTGAGGGTCAACGTAGG